CAACCCAAAGATTTAGAACTCTCTAGAAAGCCTGGTGGCAGGCAACACGATGTAACAAAACATCATAGAGTTTCAGAAGAAACTCATTGCCCTGCTCCCCCTCCTCCCCAACACACACACACACACACACCTACACAGCCACTGAGCAATAACAGGCCACCGTGGAAAAAATTAATTGGTCTATCTGGGTCCTGGTTCCTTCATCTATAAAGTGAGGGTAATAATACTTATTTAGAAGCATTGTGTAAGAACCAGAGAGAAAGAAAGTGGTACTCAAAAGACATAATTAAATATAACTAACATTGAAGTTGGTAATAGAGAAGATTCCAAAGTAATGGGACAATTTATGGCATGGAACCTGCAAGCAAACAACAGGCCTCATCGCCACTGGAGATCTGTCTCCTGGTCCCGACTACACTTGAACCCCAGATCACAGTGAACCTGGCCAAAAGCATTTCAGTGGCTGTAGTAGTGGATGTGTGCACCTTCTTCCCTGGATCTTTTTCTTCCTCCTTACACCAATGGAGGACAGAAACCCTTTCTAGAGTTGGCAGAATGTTTAAGGAAGGCAACAAGGGATATGAAGTTGAATACAGAATAATGAAACGCTTCTAATGGAACCTGGAGAGACAGTGAAGGAGTCAGTGTAAGACAGGGAACCTCCTAGAACCACTGCAGAGCAGGATGTGGGAATGGCATCCCGATTTGGTCTTGCATATACTGGCTAGTTAAACCTTGCTTGGAGGAATAGTTAGGGGCACTTATCTTGGTTACTTTTACTGACCCTCATGCTAAGGCATCTGTAGATCCTATCAGGCATATCTAGATGGCAACTCATACAAGAAGACCACAAATCTCCCCATTATTGGCCAAGCACACCCATACCTCCTTGACTTTGACCACAACATTCGAAAGCTGAGGAATCTATAAGGCCAGCTAGAACTGGGAACATGAACTTGAGCTGGAGTAGTCGAGCAAGGTGGAAAAAAAACCTTGGCAGGGAGTAATTCCTGGGAACCAAGGAGGCACCAAACATGGAGGAAGGTATAACTCAGGTCACAGCCTCAGTGGTGGGAAACTGCAGTTCACAGAGTGGTGGGTAGCTGCTGGGTGTGTAACAGATGAGAGTGGGAGATGAGGTGGTTAACTGCTTGAATTCCAGCCCCATGAGTCTAAACTCCACGCTCCACGTATGGCCAAGAAAACTGCTCTGTATTCCTCCAGGGCTGCCATTCAGAGACCTCAATGGAAATGGATTGTTCTGGAGTTGTGGAGTCCACAGTCTGCGTGTCGGCGTACGGTGGCATTCTCTACAATTTGTCCTGGATGTTGGCCACAAATTTTTGAGCTTAGCTATGGCTTGCTGTGAGAGCTGCTTCAGAAAGATGAAGGTCATCACATTTGGTAGATGTTAGCCCTGAAGTGATACAGTCGTTTTAGGAATTCTTTTCAAAAACCATTTATCTGATCAATAAACACAGCCCTTAGCTTAGGACTTCACACTTAGCAGGTACTTACTACCACATGCTTGCTGAATGAATGAACTAATGAGCACGGACGTAAAGGAGTGAGCAGTTAAGTTCATTGCAAAATGGAGAATGTTCTGGAAAGCATGCACAGCAGGCTAGTAAACTAAGGCGACTGGATTTGATCCAGTCTCGATGAAAGTGGGTGGGTTAAAATGTGCCTCCCTTCTCTAATTGCCACATATTTTATCATAGCTGCATATTATATGTAGCCATTCCTACCACTGTATATTTAACCACTCCCACACATCTTACTGATACTCTAAGCGTTTTATCTATTTTATCGATTATTACTATTTTTTAAAGATTTTATTTATTTATTTGAGAGAGAGAGAGCATACCAGAGGGAGCATGAGTAGCGGGGAGGGGCAGAGGGAGAGGGAGAAGCGGGGCCACCCAGGCATCCCTATCTATTATTATTATTATTAATCATTGCATGTTGGATTGCTCTGTATATGTGTATTCCAATCATAATAATAGTAGGAATAGTAATAGTAATAATAACTATTTCTACTACATGCAAGACATTGTGCTCGTTGCTTTATACACATCTTCCATAATTTTCATGTGTTAGGTAAAATTCAGATAATAATTTCACCTTAAAATTAAGATATTCTAAATTCATCCAAGATCGTATGGCTAAATAGTGAATGAATGAGAAGTCCCACCCAGATCTTCCTACTACTTGCTCTTCTTCAATCTGACCACGATTACTGTTAATAAGCATAAAAATATTGAAGGCACTTGGTATAATTATCTAATTTATCCTGCCTTGTAGTAGCTTCCAAAGGACATGAATCTGGCCTTTGAGAATGAGGAAGACTTAGCCATTGCATACTCTACATCAGAAGTAATAAATACACCATCAATCACGTAAGCATCACTTCCACACCACTATCAGTTTATAATTTTCTTGATCTCTCTGGCTACAGGGCTCTCTCTTTCCTGGGAGGCTCGCTAGAATGTTCCTCCAGCGAGGGTTTTTCTAAAACCCCAATCGGACCCCGCCACTTCCCAGTTTAACTCCAGACTTGACCCTATATCTCCTCTACCAAGAAGAGCATGGTGTCTAGCTGGTCTTCCAACCCCTTCCCATTCTAATTCCAAGCTATTTGGGCAGCCGCAGGCCTGGCCACTGCTCCTAAACTGACGATCCTGGAGCCGTGGCAAGTTAACTAGAAATTTCAGAGGATCCCACTGCTTTGCTTTTGCACATTTTTCTTTCTGCCTGAAATGTCAACGAGGATCTCTTATTCATGTTATTTTATGGCTCATAGAATTTTTTCAAGGTCCACCAAGACAGGAAATGTATTTTTTTAAAATCATTGTATCTCCATACCCAGTGTCTGGCACATAGTAGGTTTCAGTAAATATTTGCTCTGGATTAATTCAAGTTAAAAAAAAAAAAAAACCCACCACATTTTCTGGGAAAAGTCCCTGAAGTCCAGGAAAAGTTGCTTCTTCCTGTGTGCGCCCTTGATATTCTGATTGCCACATTGTTATGCAATGAAATGATGTATTTCCATGCCTTTCTCTGGGGCTAGACTCTGAGCTCCTGGGTGGCAGAGACTCATACGTGGGTCCTTAACAACCAGCGCAGGGCCTGGCTTATAGTAAGCCTGCATAGATTTCCTGGAATTGAAAATGTAATTCTAAAGCAATCACGTGAGCTGAGCAGGGCGGGTGTTATGCTTCTCATTTTACAGTTGAAGGAACAGGGACCCAGGGAGGAAAAAAGTCTTGACTCAATTTTCATTTAAAATCGGAGGCCCAGACGGGGCTGGGACAACGCCTCCCGGCCCCTAGTTATAAAGCACTCTTGGTGGCCACTGAACAGAGGAGGCCAGTGTCGTTCTGATCCATCTGCAGAGGCTACTTCAGGCTGCTCCTGAGACCAGCACAAACACTTGAGTATCTTCAGGGGACAGAACTGGATTAAAGGACTCTGCTTAGCAGTAATGGTAATAGTCGGGGGGAACCTGTGAATTCCCCTGGGGCCAGGGACCAAGTCCTAGGCAGGTTTGCCAGCTCTAAGATGGTGAGAGGTGCCAGGACCCATGAGGCCACTTCTTGACCTTCTTTTCAAACTCTGGCCCTGTGGTGACCTGCTGTATAGTCAGTGTCCTCTCTGGCCAATTTCCCAGGAACTTCTTCCCACTAGAGTAACTCAGTTGTGCATAGTTATAAATAGGTCCCCTTTCTACTCAAAACAGTCCTACTGTGGACAATAAATTGTATGGCCCCCTTCCCTCCTGTATTAGAAAATATGCGTATGTCCATATAGAAGCTCAGAGGGCTCCAGAAGTCTTTTAAATTCACCTTTCCCAGTCCCTTGCTTTTTTTTTTTTTTAGATGTTCATCCCCCAACCACATTGCTTCTGGTTTCCCAAGATACACTAGGTTAAGGCCTTGAGTTACAAGCCTCCGAAGGAGTTCAAGACTTTTGCTGTGCTTCTGCCCAAGCCAGAGGACTGGAGCCTCTCTAGAACGTTGGGAATAATTGGCGGGGAGCGGCGGGCGGTAAAACTGCGCCTGATTCTCAGTGTCGAATGCCTTCGCGGTACTTGCGTGTGCTGGGGCCAGGGGTGGCTGGCAGACGAGATCTTGTGCAGCCCCGCACTCCGGTGGGAGCCAAGAGCACTTGGATGCGTGTGCGCAGGTGTCTGTTTCACTGGGTTACCAAGGCCCTCTGGGCACTGCCCCGAGAGGGGAAGAATTCGTGATTAAAATCGGTCTGAGTCAAAAGGTGTCCTCAGGCTCAAAACACTCCAAGCCCCGGGGGCGGAGAGTGGAGGGGTAGGGAGGTGGCGACACCAGGGTGACAGCAACCCAAAGCAAGCGATTGTTTTCTTTTTAGATGGGGACTAGGGTGTCGGGGAAAGCTAATGAAACTAATTTTTGAAACTCCATGCGGCACCACTGATGCAAGGGATCACCAACAGGGAACGGCTCCTGGCTCAGAGCAGCATCCGAAGCGCGGTGGCCTGATGCTCTCAGGATGCCCGGCTTTCCGGGGCAAAGCGCCAGCAAGAGGGACTAGGTACGCAGAAGCACACTGAGCACCGGCCGAGCCGCTCGGGGGCGACGCGCGCGTGGCTGCGGCCTGGCGACTCCACAGACGCTCGCGACGGGGCGCGCGCTCCGAGGCCTGCGGCGACCCCGCGACCCTCCCGCTCCGTTGCGGGGCCGCCTTCTCCCAGCCCGGGCCGCGGAAGGATATGGCACTGCCGCCGAGCCGCAGAGCCGTGAGGCCGGCGCCAGCGCCGGGGCCGAGAGCTGCGATGGTAGTGGCGGCGGCCGGCGGGCGCGGGGAGCCGCCCGAGGACTGGCAGCGGCGGGGCTGATTGATGGGCGCCCGGCTCAATGAGGGGGGCCCGGGCGGGGGTGGGGCGGGGCCGGCCCTGGGCTGAGCCAGTCGCGGGTGCCGCGGGGGGGGGGGGGGGGCGGAGGCTCCGTGGAAATGTGTCGGTGACATTGAATGGGGAGACGGAGCGCGAGCGAGGCGCGCGCGCGCACACACGCGCACACAGGGCCCCGCTCGCTCCGAGATCCCCGGCCACGTAAGTAACTATTAATACCGCCTCGCCGGGAGTTGCGGGCGTGCTGAGCTCGGGGATTGGCCTCGGGCACCATCGGCCATCCCCTTCAATTTTAAATACACATTCTTCTTACCTCTGGGGAAGAAAGAAAAAAATAAATAAATAAAAGACGAAGAAGAAAAGCCACCAGTTTTCTCCAAAACAAACCCCACCGCGCAATTTGGGTTTAGGGTCGGGGGAGACGGAGTGGTTGTAAATTATTCCAAGGCAGGGTCCAGTTATCCAGCGGGAAAGGAACGCCGCAGGTTGGCTGGGGGCGCAACCCCTTCCAGCGCCCGGAGGATTCCCCCCCCCCCCGCCCGGAAGCTCGTGCCGGGGGAATCGGAGACCATTGATCTACTCTCGTCCGTGCCCGCACTTCTCGCTTTATTCGGAGGACGATCTGGAGCACGAGCGAGCTGCGACAGCATGAGCCTGTGCTGACCTCCGCCCGGCGGGCCAACCCGGGCTTTGTCGCGGTACCTGCGCCCGGCCCGCGCCGCAACTCTGTGCCCGGCTTTTGCAGTCTTTTGTTGGCAGCGGTGACCGCTCTAAGTTAAATGCTCCCTTGCTATTCTTTTTCTTCTTCTTCTTCTTCTTCTTCTTTTTTTTGTCTGTTTGTTTAAATTTTGGAGAGCTCTTGCGATCTTGGAAAAGCCTCAGACGCCATCTACAGTTAAAACGTAGGTAACTACCCTCGCCGGCGCCCCCCCTTCCACGCCCCCCACCCTTTCCACCAAAAAAAGGGGTGCAGCGCGGATTCTGTCTGCCGTGCGGCGCGAGCCGGTAGACCCGTGCTTATTTCCTTTTTCTTTTTGTTTGGTTTCTAACGCGTTGAGACCCAGCTGCTGCCGTGCGCTCCTCGAAGATTGCACAAACTACAGCAGGGCTCCTCCGCCCCGTCTGCGATTCGGAAGGCTGCGTGGGGATCGCTTCGGGAGACCTGGCGCTGCAGCTCCCCACCTTAGCAGTCCAGTTACTCGTCTAGACCCACGTTGGAAAGAGAGGGAGAGAGAGAAAGAGAGACAGAAACTAAAAGTGCGGAGATTCTGCACATCGCTGGCTGCTTTGGGGTAACAAAAGGACCCGAGTTACTGCCGACTGAGCACCCCCGGGAGCCGGGCTCGGAGCAGACGAGGTGCCCGGCGGCGCCCATTTGGGGGCTTCTAACTCTTTCTCCGCGTAGCCCCCTTCCCGTCCCCTCCCCTCTCGTTCCCTTTTAAAATCCGTGGCACGGAGGCGCCTGCAGCCGCACTCGCCAGCGACTCATCTCTCCAGCGGGTTTTTTGTTTGCCGAGTGCGATCCCCACACTCATGAACATACACAGGTCTACCCCCATCACAATAGCAAGATATGGGAGATCGCGGAACAAAACCCAGGATTTCGAAGAGTTGTCGTCTATAAGGTCCGCCGAACCCAGCCAGAGTTTCAGCCCGAACCTCGGCTCCCCGAGCCCGCCCGAGACTCCGAACTTGTCGCATTGCGTTTCTTGCATCGGGAAATACTTATTGTTGGAACCTCTGGAGGGAGACCACGTTTTTCGTGCCGTGCATCTGCACAGTGGGGAGGAGCTGGTGTGCAAGGTAAAGAGCTCGGGGTTTGTTTTTGCTTTTTGTCTTTTAAAAAGATTCCCCGGGGCCGTTTGGAGGGGGCGGGAGGTCGCCAAGCTGCGGAGCCTGGAGGAGGGAGACTCGCGGGATAATTATCCGTGGCCTCGTTAAATGGGTTTATTTATTTGTTCACGTTCGACTAGTTGCGAAGTTTTTAGAGCGTTGCAGACAATGGGGCGGGCTGCGGCGGGGGCGTTTTGGGGAGAGCCCGGGTTTGGGGAGGGCGGCGGGACTGCGCGGGGGCCACGAACACGCGTGCTTCCAGAGGCTCGTGGAGCGCCTCAGCTCTAGGCCGGGTCCCGCTGCCCAAGGGGTTTCTCCTTGTGTCTAGCCCCCTCCCCTTCCACCGTGAAGTAGGGAATCCCCCGCTAATTTTAAGGCACTGATGACTGGGTTCCTTTTGCAGCCATTGTTCTTAGAAGCGTGCAGGTGTTAAACCTTTGTTCAGAAGGTGCCCTTTAAAAGAGACACACAAAGGTGTCCCCTCTCGCTGAGCCAGGGGCCCAGCGCGGGGAAGGAGTTTACAAAGAGCTCTCTGCTCCTTGCAGCCTTGAGAGGAGGTATTGGGGGTGGAAATCAAAGCCACCAGCGCACCTTTGGGTGTAGGAAAGAGTGAGTCCTTTGGGTCCTCCTCTCTTGTCTCGTTTCTTCTCATCTCCAGACTTCCGTGCGCGAACACCCCCTTGCGCCCCCCACCCCCAACACACACCTTTGCCAGTGTGGTTTACAGGCCGGCCTTTGGAGGCCCAGGGATTCACAGTGCTAACACCGAGATGGGCACTTCAGCTTCCTTTTTGTCTTTGACCCCCAACAGTGACTGTCTGTGTGTCTTTGTGTGTGTGCACTCCAGACAAGGGGATGAGGACAGTTGCAAAAAAAAAGGAATAGAGTAGAGCATAGGGGATACCCAGGCATTGGACAAAGATCAAGAATTCATTGTCAATTTTACATTTGGTCCCTCTTGGTTTTTCTTGGGGGAGGGGTAAGGGGATAGTGAGGAGTGAGGACCTCTGCTGTCTTTGAAATGGGCACTCTGCACAGCTGTGCTACAAATAATACATCACACTTTTTACCATTAACCACAGATTGCTTTATTTCCTGGCGGACTGGAGTCTTTCATTGTAAATATGCGTTTTGTGGAGGTCTTCAGTCAGTTTTGCAATTGCTCAGTTCAGATCTCAGGGGAAAATCAGAGACTCTTCAAAGACAGCTCTCTGCTTGTACTGAGCATTTGGTATTTTGCATCTTCTCCCAAGTTACTGAGACCCAGAGCAACTGTGCCCGGTTAACCAAAATTCCGTAGGCTATTCAGAGCTGGATTGAATTCTCAGAAGACCTACAAGGTTGCACAATAGGGGAGTCATCCTTTGAAATGAATGAATTCCACAGAGCTGCCACTCTTCTATGAAATATGCACAATCGCCCAGCAGTGTGTTCACTCCTTTTGCTCAACTTCGGTACAGCATTTTAATATTTTTCAAAGGCTGGGGATGCTTTTAAGTAAAGGGACTCTGCCTTCAAATTCTGCAGGAGCATCTTGCTGTTATTTCTTTGTTTAAAGGCAGAGGTGACCTGCCCCTGCTCTTCCTTTCTCCCTCCAGATTCTTCAAGACATATTTCACTTTGGGCTGACCTTACGGTGTCATTCGTAGACGTGCTCTTTGGCCTGAAACTGTACTTAATCTGCTGGTTTAGTTCTTGCAAAGATTGAATCAGCCCTCACCAATTACTGTGGGGCTGAAAGTGGATTTAAGTGCAGTATCATTGTTCTGCTTGGCAGAGGTCATCCCTTTAAGACACAGCAGCCTGTTTTCCTGCCTTTTTACCAGAGGTGACATGGGTGACTTTTTATGCAAGCATAGCTGTGTATATCCTAGGAAGCTCCAAGTGGTTTTTATAAGGCTGCTTCTCTGAGCCTCCCTCAGATACACAGTGTGAACTCAGCTTACTGCAAGGCACTGTGAAATCTACACATTGAATCAAGTTCCTTTTGATGTCTCAGAATATAGAGTTCCTGTCTCCTAGCTCTATGTTGACCCAAGGAAAAAGTCTTTGCAAAAACAGATCGAATGTAAAGATGCCATTCCTATAGAGGACTGTCAGGAGAGAATGCTACAGGACACCATTTGGGGTCGTTTAACCAAAATAATCAAGCCTGTTTATTGTCTCCCTGAGCCCACTGTGAGCTAGGCAAATGAAGGAAGGCAGCTTTAGGGGGTCTTTACCTTATTATTTTCATGGAAATGCTGGTAGCTACTATGCACGTTGACATAATTACTATTTTGGCAAAATGGGCACTTGGTTTTGGGTTTTTTTGGTTTTTTGTTTTTTTTGTTTTTTTTTGCAAATGCTACTCATGATGGCCTAATCTTCCTACCTTATCTCAACTGTCACATTATATAACTTAGGCTCCAAATTAAACATTTAAAAGAAGCTGGCAACCAGGCTTATGGCTTGATTTTGCATTTGAAGGTGATGGTTTAAATATCAGTCCAACCCCCGTAAATGCCTGTTATAACTGCTACTAAAAGTTTGGTACCTACCCATATGGGAGAACAGAAGTAATTGCTTTATTTTTCATACTCTGTCCACCATCTTGGAATTTGATCTCTTACAGAGGGTATTGGCTATTTCGTGAAGCTGCCATGAATATGTTGTTTTTTTGTTTTTGTTTTTGTGTTTTTAAATTTCTGTGTCCGTTCAGTTTTTCATCAGTGGGACGGGGTAACTGACTGAAGGTGCTGAGCAAAAATCACCTTTTATTTTTTTAAAAATGCACTTGAAGGAGGAAGTATATGATAAATCATCGTAACTCCACGAGCACTGGAGAGACCAAGCCTGCAGCCTCCTGCTTCAGAACCCATCCCCCCCACCCCCGTTATATAACACGGGGTGTTTACATTAGCCACTGCAAAACGTTTATTACTCTCTGTGAAATTTTTGAGGCTTTCCTAGGTTTCTGCTGCCCGCAGCCTGGGTGTTAAAGTTGACTCAGGCATTTCAGATTCCTAATTGAACGGACCTCTGAGGTCACTGCTCGTGGGTCATCATTTGACAGTATCAGGGTGTGATTTGTGGTCTCTGGAGGCATTGAAGTATTCATTCTTAAATTCTAGCAGCTGTGCCGCCTTCCTGAGATGCCTCATTATGGTTCATTCACAACGTTACTTTGCTTCCTCGCCCTGGGTTAGCACCAGCCCTCCTGAGGTTCTTACTATCCTTGTTTGACGCACAGATTTCTTTTGGTTTTTGAACCGAAGGGCGACTTAACTTCAATCATGGATCTTAAATGGCAGTCTGTGTCCCTGGATGGGTTTCCGAAGGCCTGTGAATCCCCTGAAAATGAATCCAGTATTGTGCGCGCATTGGAGGATGGGCATTGTCAGCTAGAGGGGACAGAGCTTTTATCAGGTTCTCACGTGGGATCCGGACCCAAAAAGGTCAACAGGGTTCTAAATCAACGTCTCCAGGTTAGGAAGAGGAGGGAGGCCCAGTGACCCTGAGTGCTTTATCCATCTTATCCAGATTATTGGTGGCCAAGCCAGGATTAGAGCCTCAGTTGGGTGATTTCTAGGCCATGCTGCAAAATGAGGATCAAGGAGAGGATGTTCTCACTAATGAAAAAGATTTAAGAAGCTAAATGGTGGTGCACGGGGACCATTTAAGGGTTTGTTGCTGGAGCCTTCTTGGCCTGCAGTGCTTTCCAGCAAAGCACCTCATGGCTGCCCCTCACTCATGCAGGCACAGAAGGGAGTCATGCGCCTACATTCCCAGGCAGATAGTAAAACCACATTCCAAACCCAGGGATTTGTATTCCTGATTTAGTGGAGGTCTTGAAATGAATGAAAGCTTTTTTTTCTTATGACCTCAAAGATTCTCTGTGGCATTAATTCCTCTTAGGATGGTTTCCAAAAGGTATTGAGGATGGATTTTCTTTTTAAATAACCCCACAGTGAGGTGGCATTTCACAGGCTAATTTTGATTCATAGGAAATCATTGCATAACTGATTCATTGAGCTAGATAGTGTGGAGGGAATTGAGAATTGTGTCTGCTTTCTTTCCTATTAAGGACTGTGTGTCCTATTCCTTAGCTCTGCCGCTGGGGCTCGATTTGACTTGTTCTCTGAGCCTCGATATCCACATCTGTAAAATGAAGGTTTTGGATTAGAGGACCTTAAGGCAAAGTCTGCATATTTGCTCTGTTAATTGCTAATATGTTGTAGAGCACTGTACAACACATTTGCATAGTGTAAAATATATTGTACATAATCGCTATCATTGTGCAGTGATGCCCGCTTCTGTCCTGTTTCGTTTTTTGGAAGGAAAATAAGGCTTTGTCTGCGTAGCTTGGGGTGGGTCACTTTCAGATTTTGCCTTAGCTCTTTTATAAATAGGCGATTGGGGTAGAGAGAAAAAAGTGGTAAGACTTAACCATTTGTGTACCGTGTTACGTCTTGCACAGCATTTTTACCTCCACGTTGTCAAGTAATCCTCCCAGCCCTGTGAGTCAAGGGTCATTTGCCCATTTTACCCGTAAAGATTTGGAAGCTCAGAGAGGTCAAGCAGCTTATTCAACGTTGCACAGCTGGGAGCAGGCAGGGCCAGTGCGGTCTGGGTCCGAGTTCGGTCTGCCTTCTGTCTCCTCAAAAGCCTGTTCCATTCTGTGATTCCGTGGTTTAAGACGCACCCCTGACCCTTGGTCTTGTCGTGAATCCTGTCCTAGGTGTTCGATATCAGCTGCTACCAGGAATCCCTGGCCCCGTGCTTTTGCCTGTCTGCCCACAGCAACATCAACCAAATCACCGAAATCATCCTGGGGGAGACCAAAGCCTATGTGTTCTTTGAGCGAAGCTATGGGGACATGCATTCGTTTGTCCGCACCTGCAAGAAGCTGAGGGAGGAGGAGGCGGCCAGACTGTTCTACCAGATCGCCTCGGCTGTGGCCCACTGCCACGACGGGGGGCTGGTGCTGCGGGATCTGAAGCTGCGGAAATTCATCTTTAAGGACGAAGAAAGGTGAGTGTCGTTCCTGTCCAGAGCCCGGACTCCGACGGGCTGCTCGGGAGCATGCTTGCTTGAGGGGTTGGAATGGACAGTTTTTTTGTTTTGTTTTGTTTTTTTGCTGCCTGCCTCCAGGTGAGAAGGAAGGGTGAGCAGACAGAAGGAGGTGAATGGATGTTGAGATGTTTTAAGTGCCCCGGGAAACTAAGTTGCTGCTACTCCAGCCGCGTTAACGAATGCTCAGAGGTCGGGTGCCAGGATTGTCTGTGACCTGGTGATTAGGGTTTTTTTTTTTTGGTTTTGTGAACTCTGAAGATGGCTGCAAGCCTGCGTGACATTTTCAGTGCGAGTAAGGCACGATTTTGCTTTTGAAATAATCCTACCTTCAGAACGCTCGGTGCCTGTCCTCACTGATTTCTAATTCATTCATTCATTCCTTCACTCGGTAGATGTTTCATAAGTGTACGTGTATGTACGGCTAAAGTGTGTGTGCATTACTCACATTTCTCAGTACTGTGAATATCGGGGCGCATTAACTAGTCAACTCACCTACAAAGGGATGCTCTAAGCCCTGAGTGAAGACTATATACGGGGTTAGATGGGACCCGGGGGCTGGGATGTCCGTTTTAACTAGGACGTGGAAGTCAGGAGAGGTGCTTTTGGAGCTCATTTGAAAGATGAGTATGTTACAGACAGTGTGGGAAGGACCGGCGTTGCAGGTAAGGAAGGTGTCGATACATACACACAGCAATGCGCAGGTCTGGGTTATTGTAGGAGACAGCTGGGCAGGACACTGGGCATCTGGGTTCCACTCATGGTTCTTCTGCCCACTCATGACATTCTGTTGAGCAAACCCACTGGGGCCCGCTTTCTCTTCCAGCTGACTTCTCTTGTAAAACTCTTTCGAGCCACTCTTTTTCTTTTGAAGAATGTGCTTTTTTAGAGGGGTGGAGGCAAGTGATTTATATTCATTGCTGACTATTCCAAAGATCGTTCTAGAGTTTCTACCCACGTGGGTCGTGGAATTACCATGAAGGCCTTGGGCATCCTGGACTCCTCCTAGGGAAGTGGTTGGTGAAGTGGAGGTCCATGGGCACAAAGCTACTAAGGCCCATTTGAGTACAAAGCTAGTGCATGCCATTCATTTACTCACTCAACAAACATATCTGGAGTATTTTTTTTTTTTTAATCTGGAATATCTTTTATGTGTCTGATGATGAACTGGCTAGCAACCCTTTCTACCTACCAGTTACTGTGCCATGTATCTAATGGCCTGTGATATTTTAGGCTATTGCTTAGGGAAGTCTGTTGATGTCCTATAGAAAAAATATATAATGAGATCTAGTGGTGTCTGCTTTGGTTTTTTTCATTTTATGGTTAGAGCTAATTGGGAGGTAAATGTCTGGGAAGCATTTAGGGATTAGCAAAGGTAAAGGGCCTGTGTTTACTTAATGCAAGTGGAATAATTTGATGACAGTTTATATATATATATATATATATATATATTTTTTTTTTTTAAGATTTTATTTATTTATTTGACAGAGAGAGAGATCGCGAGAGCAGGAGCACAAGCGGGGGGAGTGGGAGAGGGAGAAGCAGGCTTCCCGCCGAGCAGGGAGCCCGATGCGGGGCTCGATCCCAGGACTCTGGGATCATGACCTGAGAGCCGAAGGCAGGTGCTTACTGACTGAGCCACCCAGGTGCCCCTGATGACAATTTATAATGCAGCTGAGTATACAAAGTGCCGAGGGCCACTGGCCACAGAGATTGGTTATTGTTCCATATTTTTTCCCCATAAACAGGTATCTTAGGCATTCGTGGTAGCTAATAGCCTGGTTTTTGAGAGTGCATGGTCTTGACCCTTACTAACAAATGGAACAAGAGGGAGCTATTCTAAGATCTCGAGTGTGGGGTGACACATATTCTCTTCTTCAGCTCAGATGCATCTGCCCTTGGAGCCTGGAGACTCAAGTTATTACTCTGGTTTCACCTTTAATATCCTCTGTGACCTTTTAGTTTGGTCCCTTCCTCCTGGCCTCAAGTTTCTTATCCTTTTATTGTCCTGGCTCTGTCTTATTGGTTCTGAGGTCTTTCTGAGTTATAACATCAGGTGTGTGCTTCTTTGAATATTCTCACTGGAAGTTAAATATATACCTGACCCCCAGCAGAATACTGACAAAGATACTTTCTTTGTCCTTCTGCATTCCACCTTTCTTGGAAATGTAATAACTCTAACTACAAAAATAAGAGGTGATTGTTTGGGAGTACTTTAAGGTCTTATTATTAGGTTATTGTTAACCTTACTTACTTCTCTCTGCAAATGGGGGTAGGGTGGGGATCATCATGTTCATTTTATGGAGGAGGACTCCAAAATCTTGTGTGAGGTCTCAAAGTTATAGATAAGAAAGAGCAGAAATAAGGACATATTCTCTATTAAATCAGATCTCAACAAATTCACTTGCCTGCCACAGGGAGTAAGGGCGATGAATGCCCTCTCTCATGGGGATCCAAGTTTTTAAACGTCCCCTTCGATTGTGTCTCTTTCGAGAGGAATTTCAGGTACCAGTGAGTTGACGGGGTGGTGCGTCCAGGGATAGAACACACATGGTAAATACATATTTATGAAGTGAGTCATAGTAGGGTGGACATCCTTAGGTCACAGAACATGGGAGCACAAGTGAACTCCAGGGTCTCCAGAGGGCCCATCCTTCAATTTTCTCCTGTTGCTGCCTGGAATCAGAACAGCAGAGGTGAGGGTGCCGGCCCCAGGGCCCACAGTTAGCTAGAAGCAAATAAGGGGCTGAGTCAGACCTCACATTTGCTGTTGAAGGCCTTTTCCTCCAGGCCTGTCTTGTCCTTTATGGGAAGTTGAGTTAAGAGTGCCCAGGAGTAGATGGTGGCAAAGCTGAAATCCTTGATGTCCCAGGGCCTAGAGAAGAAATCCCAAGATGTCGGAGGCTTCCAACACAAGGACTGTGAGTCTCTGGCACTGAGTTTGGAGCTGTGTTTGACTTTTGCAAACGAGCATGACCCTTTCTAGAAAGATCTAGAAAGAAGTATCCTGTATGAATGTGAAACCAGAAGACTTCACTGGAGTAAGCATGTCAGAGCGAAATCCTTTTTAACTTTAGAGAGCATTTTCCTTCTGAAAAAGGAAGCGTCAGTGACAGGGAGGAAGCTGCTCATCATCTGTCCCCGGCATGTCTGACGGCACCTGAGCCCATGCAGCCCTGCCTCCCTGCGGGACCAGCAGGGAGAATGATAGCTCCTCATCCGACGGGCGAGGTGACTGGGTTGCACAGGAGTTAAGTGACCTTGCTTACGGTCATACAGCATGCATGCCGATGGAGCCGGCCTGGAAATCCTATCCTTTCAGTCCAGAGCTCTTTCCCTGCCCCTCCACCACGCTGAAGTCCCGGAGGACTTGGCTGTTCCTAGCATGACAAGTGTCTCTGGGCAGCTCTGAGAAGGTCACTCTCATTTTCAAGGACCTTCCAAATGTTCTCATCAGTAGCTGATAGGAACTTTTCCCCCAGCCATCTGTCAACTTTTTGTGAAAGAGGGATAATGCCTTGTAGACTTCCTCCTTGTTGTTTTGCCTTTGAACGTCTTCGATTTCAGAGTAGGAGACTCTGGTTTTGTCACTCAGATTATTTCTCCCTCCGTGTGTCCCTGCAGCCATTGAGTTTCGTGGCAGTTTCTCTTTGTTGGTCCACACAGTGGCTTGTGTGAAGGAACCTGCCTGTGTGTTGAGGGGGACAGCAGTCTGGGACCTCACTGGGCTGGCAGCCCCCACCATCCATCCTAATCAGCAAGACCTCATCAATAGGTATTTCAATAGGACTAGAGTCTGTGTCTCTCCTGACAACACCCAGCGTGTGAGAAAACAATGGGTTGAATTTGAAAGGCTTTTGAAACGTTGAAGGATGGAGTCTGTGTCTGTTTTCCGGCCCTTTATGCATTGGTTTTTTGGAGGGGGGAAACACAGAAGAGGCTTTTGGAAGTACTACTTTATTAAGCCTCAAATCACCAGACCACACTTTTGTGCATGGTCTTCTCTCTCTCAAGGATGTGCACCTTTTTGTCTGATGCTCTTGCAAGGAACTGAAGGTGAAAGAATTACATAGTGAAGTTGGCTGAGCCCCACCAGGTTCAGAATGAGACCAGCCCGTGTGCTGACTCTTTATGCATGGATTTCTGATATTGGACCATCTGTAACTGAATCCTGACCACCCATGAATGTGTTGTTGGTAGAATGATCAGGTCCATCAGTCCAGTTTCCCATGAGCAGCGTGAAGACATGATACATGCATGACACCCCATGTTACGTGAGGGCCTGATACCAGTGTGCCTTCTGCCTCTGTGTTGAATTAGTAGCACCACCGATTTCCTTTGCTTCCGTTTTATTTTGATCTGGATTCTAGATTCGGATTCTGTCTCTACCCCTCATTAGCTACCTGGTCTTGGATGAGTCCTTTAATGCCTCTGAGCTGCAGATTCCTCCTGGCAGAAATTAGGACTGCATCCCTGTGGGTGATTGTGAGAGCCCAGTGAATGAACCAGAGGTGCACAGGGTGGGGCAGGTGCTCACTATAGCCCGCCGGTCCTAAAGTCATTGATAAAGTGGTGCCATTTTCGACCAGCTGTTCCCAGGGTGCGGGAGGCTCTTGGAGAATGTGCTCAACCTCTTGGGCAGCCATTTCACGAGGAGTGGAACTCTTGTGATGCGAGGGTTCAGATTTAAGCCACATCCTCCTTTCTTGTTTAACTGCAATATTGGATCAGTGCTAGAAGGGTGACTGACAGGGCAAGCACCAGGCTCAGAAAGGCCAGAAGGTCGACCAGATGTACGCAGGGGAAGGCGGACACCAGGCGCATGCAGGGAGTGAAGGACCCCGCTTCCCGGGCCTGAACTGGCCCCGGTGTTCCCAGCCTTGCACTGCTGCTTCTCCTCCATCCCTGGGACGTTTCTGCAGAGCAGAACTAAGGTGATTTTTTTTTCTTTCTGAGGATGT